CGGGATACGGCTGGCGGGTGTTATCCACTGCGCCGGCAAACTTTTTACATTATGTTAACTTGCGCGCGAAATGGACCGCGGGACTAAGCAGCGTGTGGAGGGTGGATTGAAGTTTAGGAACGCGCGTACCTCCGCGCGATCCACGAAATTCTCCACTCGCTTCCTTCTCTCTCTCTCTCTCTCTCTCTCTCTCTCTCTCTCTCTCTCTCTTCCTCTTTCTATAGAAAGTCTCATAGGGAGAGAGTGGCAAACTCAATCACCTGGCCGAATCTCTGATTGGTCCCAGAGGGCGCCAGAGTTTCTTGTGTAGATATAGATGCAGGTATAGGTAAGGAAAGCTATTGGCTAAAAAGTTGAGGTTGGTTTGTCGCGCCAGCGGATCAGAAGAGATCTTTTAATATGTGTTCAAGCATCAGATTCAGATCGTCTCTTCTAGACTAAGATTAACAATATATCGCTTATCGAGATCTGATCGTCACGATACGCGCGAGCCAAGCTCTTTACTTATTTCTTTCTACCTTCTTCTATCTCTTATTTCATGCCTTACACAAGAGCCTCTAGCGTCCAGGACTAATCAGAGGAGACTCGGTCACGTTGAGCTTGCAACTCTTCTCCCATGAGACTCTCTCTCTCCCTCCCCTATTCCTCTTCCTTCTCTCGTTTTCCCTCACTTCCATTTTTCCTCGCGTACTAAACGCGCTAAACCGTATCGGTTACGAATTCAAAGTTCCAAATAGTGCATCACGCTCGAACGCATTACGTGCATATATACGTCGCGCGTGGAATCTTTCCGCGATTGCTATTATTTCGTTGAGGCGCGGTTCAATCGCGCTTGCTCGTTCACTCGATCGACGCCTGAATATGGCTTCGCTTTCGCGCGAACGCCGGAAATTAGTTACCAGCTCGTGAAAGTTTATGACGTTATTATTCCGAATTCGCGCGGATTACGGCGAAATGGCGTGCGGAATTGGCGCGGAGTCGAGTGGCCGAGCCGACGAATGGGAAAACCGATATCGCCGCGACACTCGGTGGATTCGGCTCGCGAGTTGGTCGCGCCGAACATCCGTTCGCGAATTCTTTTTTTGCGTGTTCAAGTGCGTGCGATCGCGCAATTACAGTTCTATTTTCTCGGACGATCCGCCGTAGATTTGGCGAGAGTGGAGCGATTGTCCTGGCGCGACGATACTCGTTGACCGCGCGTTATCGTTATCGCGCGGTTACGTTCACGCATTCAAAGCGCTTCTTCCGTTTCCGTCACTTTTTACCTTTCTGCGTTGCGTCGTTGGCGCCGCGACGCGGCTATCGAAACGATCAAACGCTAAAACGGCTGCGGATTGGCTTTTATTCTCTCTTTCTTTCTCTCTCTCTCTTTTCCTTTTTTTCTTCCTCCGTCTGTGCGCGCAATCTCGCATTGGCGTTCATTCCCGCTCGTATTTTCACCACATCTTTATCCTCTCCGCCGCCGTTTTTTTATTCATAGAAGTGCATTCTATCGAGCCAATCGGTACAAGCGCTGTGCGCGGTTACACATATTCCTCGCCTCTGCTCGCAGTCGCGCGGATTGGCGGGAGCGCAGCAGAACGTTAAGTGCAAAGAAGCGCGCTCGCGGGGAATCTGCACTACTTTTTAGAGATGTATAGAAAGCTTTGAGAGGAAAGAGAGAGAGAGAGCTACATGTGTTTGCTTTAAAATTCCGTTGAGATATCTTTCGACACGCGAAAGGTTCTCCCCAGTCGACTCATCTCCCGCGCGGTGAACTTTGATGTTACGTTCGGAAGGAATTTAGACCGGACCGATATCACCTGTGCGAAGCTGCATCCATTCCGTGCAGTCGCCCGCAGTCATTTGGATTAATGACGTCGGAATGGAGAATAGACTACATCGTTTATTCTCGCGACGCGTGCGCCGCCAGAATACGCGGTATGTTTTTCCACGTGACGGGACTCGCGACATCCGTAAATCGAGCATCAAAACTGCAACGGGATCGGTTTTGCTGCGTTCGATCGGTCGGTAAATGCGAAGGTTATTTCATTAGAGTGGTCTACTTAGCGACGGGAACGAGTTGCGCGTCATTTCATTGATTAACGAACTGAAGTGGGCACCTTCGATGCGTCATAAATGCGCTGAAATGATTATGCGCCGAAGACTCGTACATTAATGCGTCCCGTGGATAAATAAACAAATCAATTATTTTCCGACTTTGCTTCGATGTTACTCTCACTTGTTTGACATACATCTGTCGTGTAATTTAATCATGTCATTTTCATTCGTAAAAGTATGGAGAATTTTACAAAAACTAGCATAGAATTATGCAAAGAGGTGATCGCGAATATTCACTCGAAATCTCATGTTATTGCGAGCATAAGAAGAGAACGCGATGAAAACGTAGAAACTTGTAACTTTTCTGAAAATGAATTTAAGAAATCAGCACTTTAGAATTTTCTTGTTTATGCTTTGTTTGTACTTTTAAGAAAAAAACAATATTGCACATTTTAATTCGTCGAAAAGTATAATTGTTTAAATATACGTAAGTATATAATAATTTTCAGTCAGGCGAATAAAATTACGTAGCACTACTAAAAAATAAAAAGTTCTTTTACCGAAAAAAAAACCATTATTTTTTCCGACGTATTGAACCGAATGTGACTTTTATTTAAAAAATCATTTTTATTTTATATTTTAACATTTTAACTTTACACACTTGGAGTCAGAAACGACTTGGCTTTGCCTGTTTGTTTCATGATAGGTCATTGAAGCCATTCAACTGTGTTTAAATCTCACGTTCCCACCAACTGTAACCTTTTTCAGCAGGTGAGTCGAAAGTTCTCACTCCACCAGCTTGCGGATAATTCCAAATTAGCAGTCGAGTGAGTGAGGTGGAAAATGACGTGCCACGCGAGAGTTAATTTAAGGACTAATTGAGATCAACTGACTCGCACTATAAATTCGTTCCTTTGTCAGCTCGCGCTCAGAAGGATAACACAAGAAGGATAACACGCGAGTGGGAGCGTCGATGTGTCTCCCGTTGAGAAAAGATTTCAAACAAATGACTCCCACTAAAGTGCTGGAACGTATTTCGCACGTGAATCGCTTGGAAGAATAAGACAGAGAGATAAACGCGGAATTCGAGGGAAAGAACGAGAGTAAATGAAAGAGAGCGGGCAAAAGGAGCAAAAGGGATTTATCGCGCGAGGTGGATCGAGGGGACATTATTTCACGGCAAATTCGTTATCGTGCAACGCGATATCCGCGAGAGGCGGACGAATGAGTTTTCGCAGATGCTCGTCCGGTCAGCGCCCGGTTCAAAGGGCGAGCGTGATTTATGCCGATCGCGAGGGGAGGGAGGGAGAGAGAGGGAGAGAAACAGAAAGAGTGAGAAAAGATAGAGAAAGGCCGAACGCGCTGAAGGAGCATGCCCGGCACAGGCTCGAAGTTGCACTTTATGCACGTATGAATACGCACGCATGATCCGAATGCCGGCGAAAGGTTCGCGCGCAACGCCGAAGGCTTTTCCCAGAGATTGCGGACGGAATCTCTTGGTGAATTACCTCGCGATGACCCGACCGCTCTTTGCGCGCGCCGTCCACCGGTTTTCCGTTCTCGCGCACACACCTACGGCATATATGCACACGTCGTTTCTCTCTCTCTCTCTCTCTCTCTCTCTCTCTCTCTCTCTCGGGATGCTTACGAATCACGCACGAACTACTACGGTCTGTCGTCCGTGTACGGCTGGTCGGTCGTCCGTGCGTGGATTCTCGTGGATTTTTCCGGCCGATGTTGCGCCACCGTCCAAGGGCCAATAGTGCGTGTGTGCGGCACAGCGATATGTACCGAAGGCGCTTCCGTTGGAGGAAAAAATTGAACTCGTTAGAAAGAAAATTGGATGCCCGGATATATTGAGAATTCCGCGATGCAATATGGCATAACGTGCGCGCGCGCTCACGCTCGCGTTTGCTGGCGCGAGTGAGCGAGCGAGCCAACGAACGAACGAACGGACGAGCGCGCCGCATATTTTGCGTTGCAAATTACGATCCTGGCGTCGGCCACGTGAAATTTTAAAAGTCGATCGGAAGCTACGGTGTAGCCGTAGTTGCAGCGCGCGTACATTAATTCCTTCAAGTATTCAAGCGAGATATAGTTTGCGGAACGAGTCGCCGGTGTGGGCGCTCTCCGCTGCTGTACAAGCGGTTAGAGCGCTCTTTTGCGTCGCGCGCGCGCGATTTCGAGGTATTAAAACTTACCTTCGAAAGTGCGGAAAACACGCATGCGTGCGTGCGTGTGCCCTTTGCGAAGAAAAATTGAGCGCGATCGCGCGCTGAGAGAAAATGAGTGGTTTCGAAGAAATGGAATTCGGTGTTCGTGCAATGATAATGCGTTGCTATTTCTCTCCCCAAAGTCTTGCAGAAAGAAACATTTCTTTGTTGATACAACCGATGATTTGCCGAACGTCATTTCTAACCTCTGCATTGCCAGCAAATCAAATTTATGACTTGTTGGATTAACTCAGCAGTGACATGTGTATCAATTACAGAAGTGTTGCAGCGAATTGAGAGCAACAAATCACTTGTTTCCATAACGGAATCGCTTGCTGTCATGTATTATCGAGCATTTGTCGCGGGTACTGGTATTTTGTTAAATTAGCAAAACTATTTTTCTCAGTGAAAGCGCACTTTTGTGCTGGCAAGAATTTTTCTCAGTGCGACGGCGTTCCTTCACACCGAGTCTTGCGAGTGATGCTCGCGCCGTAAAGGCGACACACGTCCGCGGTCACAATCTTGTATTTTATTCGCATCTACGCTGAGCCATGTCGGCCTGACATGGGGTAAATCCCGAGTCGATAATCCGCGATTCCGGAACCATCTCTCCGTCTCGTCTGTTCCGCTCGGTCGGCTTGGCCGCTCGTCCATCCCGCGGCCATGCTTGCGTTTGTTTTTATCGCGCGTCGATAACGCCCGCAACGACGAAACGTAACGAAGGACCTTGTCTGTATGTGTTCGCAGACGCCATGGGTTCGCTGGAGGAGGTGGTCGTCGAGGCTGGGAAGACCGTCACGTTGGGCTGCCCGGGTGTGACGGAGGATTCGTTGGTGTTGATGCTCGAGTGGCGAGCGAACGGGATGCGACTGCTCGAGTATAAGAGCAGAAGCACCACCGTCGTCCGGCATTTTCGAGACAGAATGTCCATGTCGTTGAAAAATTATTCGCTGCAGCTCCACCCCGTCACCGCCGCCGACAGCGGCTTGTACGAGTGTCTCGTGAACAACCGGAATACGCCGGAAGCTGTGATCAAGCTCATCGTGCGAGGTAGGTGGATCGTTTCTTCTTTTTTTTTTTCCCCCTTTCCGTCTCTTTTCTCTCTTTTCCCGGCTCGTGCGGGAGCAAAAAAAGCTTCAGCGGCGGAATAAATAGAGCGACGTCATCAGCGTTGGCTCAACAATAACGCGCCAGGTCTTTTGACGGAATTCGCGTATATACGTGACATCAGAACGGACCCTTATCGGTGTCCGATACGCGAGCCAATGTTTGGCCTTTATTTCCGCGCTGATTTCCGAGACACGCGCTTCATCGGCCGGAATTTTGTACACAAAACTCGATCGTTCGTGACGTCTGCGAATCTAAATAATTAACAATCAGCCGCGCGTGTATGTGTCTGTACCATCGCGAATTGGCATGGCAGGCGCGGGTTGCCGATGAAACGTTCACCCTTGACAACCTGTGAGATTCGAGCGCGATTGTTAGGTTTCCGGTCCGGCAAGCCCCGCGTCGGTTCTGAATTAAAAACACAATCCGTGTCCTGCAGGACACGCTTGGTGTTGTGCCAATAAGCTCCATCGTACGTTGCACTTTTATTTTCGCTTTACACACAGACGTTTTCTTTTGGGATCTTCGAATTCCACCCGCTATTATTTATCAGCCAGTCTGGTGATATTATTAGCCGGGTTATCGTCGATAACGTACACTGAAAGGAAAAAATGGTCGATCTAACAAATTATTTTTAATTCAAAATAGTAGAATAGTAACATGCATATAAGATTGTTATTATTAATATTATTATATTATTATATTTCATTAAAAATGGTTTTTCTGGGAAGTTATACATTAAGGGAAAAATTACCTTAAAATAAACAAATATTTTTTTTATGGGTGCAATTAACATATTTATTTAAATCTAAATTCTCTTTATTTAAATTAAATATTGTTTACTTAAATCAGATAAACAATATTTTATTTAAATAAAGAGGATTTAGATTTAAGTAAATACGTTAATGACACCCATCAAAGAAATATTTGTTGATTTTAAGGTAATTTTTCCCTCAATATATAGCTTCCCAAAAAAACCATTTTTAATGAAATTTAATAATATAATAATATTAATAATAACAATCTTATATGCATGTTACTGATTTATTTTAAGAGAGTATAGAGTAAACTATACTGAGAGAAAAATTAGCTTAAAATCAACAAATATTTCTTTGATGGATGCCATTAACTTATTTACTTAAATCTAAATTCTTTTTATTTAAATTAAATATTGTTTACTTAAATCAGGTAAACAATATTTAATTTAAATAAAGAGGATTTAGATTTAAGTAAATATGTTAATGGCCTCAAATAAATATTTGTTGATTTTAAGATAATTTTCTCTCAGTGTAGTTTACTCTACTCTCTTAAAAAAAATCAATAAACATCACGGAAAACAGTGAATATACACTGAGTGCAGTTATAAATATAGTACTGAAAGTACTCAGTGCTATACTCATAACTGATATCAGTGACCACTCACTTATTACGTTTACTGGCAACGTTAATCCGGATTAGTAGCAACCGTTGTTAGTGAATTTTTGGATTTTATTGGTATATTCTTTTACGTCTAAAAATGTACTCCAATCGGATTCGAGAATTCACTAACTACGATAGTTACTAATCCGGATTAACGTTGCCGTGTAAACGTAGTCACTGATTCACTTTAAGAGAGTAGTTAGTTACAAATGCCAAACCTTTTTTTCTCAGTGTATTTTCCAAAAGTTGAAAGTACCCGGCCATTGTGACGAATAGCGATCAATATTCTCTACAGTATATGATCGAAGGAGATGCAAAAGTTCCAATGCGATTTTTCTGTTCTTGGCCGAGTTAAAAACGGAGAAAACTTATTTGCCCCGCTTATATTGCTTTTAGACGTTAGCTGTACATCTATGTACGTACGGGAACAATTTTCCGATATACACTATCGGGAATTTCTTGCAAACAGCAGTTTGGCAATTTCCTTTACCGAGGAGGAAATAAAATACAAACAGTTACAGGGAGTGCACGCGCGGGCGTGCACTTAGCGCTTTTGCATCTGTATTGTCGGCGACACCGCTTTCGCAATTAAGAGCGTCTCGCGGAATAAGTGTAAACACACCGCGAGATCCTTTACGGCGCGAGTGCTCTTTTTCCGCGGAAACGGCGGCGCAACTCGTCGAATCGGGGGCGTAAAAGCCGCCGCAGATATTTACTTGGCGGTTTTGCGGAATCCTGCTCGCTCGGCCGTGTACAGAGAATCGCGATTTTCGTCGATGCTTCCGCGGAGGGGAGGGGGAGAGGAGGGGCCAATCGAAATATCCGCGACTCATTCATCGCGGTTGCAATTTGCGTTCAATGAACTAGTTCGCCCCGCCGAACTTGGCGAGTTTACGCAAAGTTCCCGCTGAACTTCGTGAGAGGAAGGCCGCGGCCGGGTGGCAAGCGCAAGGCACCGCCCTTCTTAACTACCCAGTCGGCGCTCCCGTCGGGCTTCTAATGCTTTATTTTAAAACCGAGTTTGTACCCCTCCGAGTGTTTGCTTTAAGTATTTACGGCTGATTTGAATTCGTCACGTGCAACCCGCCGCGTCAAAAGCAAACTTTTCCGAGCATCCTATAGACGGGGCCGGAATCATGGGAGTGCGCGCGGCATAACTTCGGCCGCATAAGTTTGGTCCAACTTCATCTGGAGACAGAGAGAGAGAGAGAGAGAGAGGGGTGG